CTCAACTGAGGTCTCTGAACCAGTGACACCACTCCAGTCAAGGAGACAGACAGTTCCAGAACTTTGTTCTCTCTTGATTTTCTTGATGTTGACATGCACCTTGTTTATCTTTTCATCTAATAATCATGTTTTGCCTGGCTGGTATTCTAAAAGCAGTTCAACCAGGTTGCTTTTCTATAACCTCCTGATAAAAGGCTTATGGTAGAGCCTCACTTCAAGTCAAATGGAAATAATGCCTTTCACAACATTCCTGAATGGGGTCACAACAGAATCATGACCCATCTTCTCGCAGCAGTAATCTATCTATATAAAAATGGCTCTGTGTGTGTCTTTGTGTGTATGTTCCAGCGTAACTCTGGAATACCTCGAGCAATTTCAACCAAACTTGCTACACAGATGACTTACTCTCTGGAGAAAAAATGCTGTGTGGGTAAGATACCCCTAACACCCTTTGGTATGTGTGTTCTGTTAAGATGCAGCCTGGTGTGCCTTTAAATGGCTTCTACTGTATTGCTGTAAAATGACTTCTACTGTACAGTGGAGTTGCCATGATAAAGGCTTCACAATATTCCACAGGGAGCTCCCTCTGGTAAGTGGGAAAATCCAACTTTAGAAATTACATTTCGTCTGGACATTTTCCCCCTGTAAATAAATACCCGGACAGCACTAGGCTAACGACTAGTTACATATATAAAAAATCAATCTTTTCTAATTGACTGTCCATTAATCCCAGCAAGAAAAAAAATCTGGTTTTAGTTGAATGTTGATCTTTAAAATTCTTTGCTTCTAAACTCAGAAATTTCTGGCTTTTTTTTTACAAGTCCACTAGGCATGATAAAAACAACCCTTGACCTTGTCCATATTTCTAGGATAAATTTTACTACATTCTAAATAATTTTTCTGCAGTCATAACGCTGCAGAACATCATTATAAAAAATCTCTTTCAGATTAAACATAATGTAAATTTCAATCTTTTACTCATATATTTTCTCACTGTTCATCAATACATTGTGTCCAAGATTGTTAGCCCATTTTATCATACAGCACACTTTCACTTGTTCTTCTTCCATTTCAAATTTCAATAACAGTTTAGGTGTTCACTCTTTCTACATAGTTCAACTTCAGATTCTTTCTTGTGCCACTTAGTTCCAAATGGCCTTAATTCTTTCCCTTAACTGTGCATCCAAAAACCATTTAAAACTGAATCCCTCTGCAACCAATTGCTCTCTTGATTTCATCTTATTTTTTTCAATATTCCTGCTCTAACGGTTCTTAATAAGATAACTACTTTTCTTTACCTACTGTTTCTTTCCTATAAAATACTTCTTGTACTGACATCCATAAAGGCTTTTCCATGAACCATGTGGGTTTACATCTGTTCCATATTCTCAATAGGGCACTTCCAATACTATGATTCTTAAAATTACACTGACTTTAACTTTATCATAATATAGAAAACCATGCTATCTGAATCTCAGATTGTGCTCTTTTAATTCTAAAATTCTCTTATTTCTTCAGGAAAACCCATTCTTTCATCCAGACTGAGGACACTTTTATCCATTCCTATTACCGTTCACGCACACAATATATGTCTGTCTGTCTGTCTCAAATTGTGTATCTAGAAAAATAAGTTTTTGGCAACTGAAAATCACTCTTGAATGATTAGTCAGCCCCTCATGAATAAGTGAGCGATGCATCTTTGTAACGAGATTTAACATCAACACATATTCTAAGTTATGTTCATATATGCATAAAGTTCTTAGTAGCCTTCACAGCTGCTTCTGAAAGCTTCATAAATGACTCTCCTTTGAGTAAAACCATTTTATTATTCAGATGTTTTGCATGCTTCCCATTCAATTATTCAGATGTTTTGAATGTCCCCCATTCAATTATTCAGATGTTTTGCATGTTTTCCAAGCTATTTGTATAACTAAGATTGTATTTAGATAAGTGGGCTTATGTTTGTATATACAAATGAATGACTAACGCAGGAAAGAAGCTGGGGTTTTTTTTCATGATTATTCTAGAGAATAACTGTCAGATATATCTTAAGCCATGATACTGACTAGAGTTAATGGGCTTATGTTTATGCATTCAAATAAATAACTGATGTGGTAGAGAAACTTTACTGCAAACAACATATCTTAGGTAGTTTATAAACCACAGATCAGTGGTCATTGGATGTGTTTGGAATATCATATTATGGGGATCAATAAGTAGAGTGATAAATATTTTATTATTGCTTAATTTTTACCTATTTTATATTCACCTTTATTATTTTTATACATAATTCAAGACAGCAAACATATCTAATATTCCTTGCTTCTCCTATTTCCCCAATAACAATAAAAGGTGATTGAGCTGAAAGAGAGTAACTGGCTTTCATCACTCTAGAACTCACAGTCTCCCAGTTTAGCAATAGCAGTGGACTTATATACCGCTTCATAGGCCTTTCAGGCCTCTCTAAGCGGTTTACAGAGAGTCAGCATATTGCCCCCAACAATCTGGGTCCTCATTTTACCCNATATATATATATATATATATATATATATATATATATATATATATATATATATACACCCCCAAATGTATAGGTTGCCTTTCTCTTCAATTCCCTCCTCAATTTTGATGGTGGCTGGTCCAGAGTCCTCCAATAAATTATCCCATGAGCTTCCATGGCTGATGTTGGCCTTGAACTTGGGTCTCCCCAGGCCTAGTCTAATATCTTCAACAACCTAACAGTTTGAGACATAGACTAAGAACCACCATGACCATGGTGCTGTTGTTTCCCCTTGGGAGGATTCTCAGAATATCCCATCTCATATTAAACCAGACAGTTTTCCCATGTATTCCCCAGACAAATGTTTCACTGCAAAGGATTCAACACTTCTTGTCACATGATGAGCTTGATCCAAACTGTGTGGAAACCAAGTCAATTACTCCAGGTAACACTCTACTTTGGTTGATATAGAAGCATGGAAGGTGAAATTGGGTTTGTTTACATAGGATGGGGGGGGGAGCAAAGGCTAGTTTGTAACTTCTAAATGTTACACAGAAAACCCTTAACACAAATTGACAGGTGCATTAGGATTGCAATTTCCATAATTTGCAAGCGATTCTGGCATGGGAATTTTCAGCTTTAAAAAGAGAATACTGTTCCTTGGGCAGTTTAAAAATATAATTAGATAAATTCACAGTTTAGGCCTCATGCACAGATGCTTCTCACTTTGAGATATGGTAATATATAAGAGAGATAATCTGGTTCATTTTGCTTGCCAAATGATATCTTTAAACTTTTACACATTCCTTCTGTAAACTGCAAAATTGATTTTACCATCTGAGTTATTTCTAATAGAATAAGAATAATTATTCTTCATTAATAATTATTCAGAATAAGAATAATTAAGAATAATTATTCTGCCATCTTTTCTCATAGGACATATGGATTTCTATACTAACTAATCCTATTGTTGGATAGTTTATATGTGTGGGGTTAATATGGAGCTTAACAACAGTGTTTTTTCATGTGTCTGAAATCTTAATTGATTCATCTCTATTGCAATTTGATATCACAAGCCATAATTTTGTGTAACAGGAAGGATGTCTTCTGGGCTCATTATTCCTGCTGGTAGAAGTAGATGAGATTTTTGTTTGTGTGAATGCAATCATAGTTTAAAGCTGATTTATTTCAAACAAACTGTAGTTCAGATTAATCATTTTTCCCCAGTCTTGGATGAGATGGCATTTAATAAAACCAAGGATTCTGGGAGAGAGGGTAGAAAGTGGGAGTCAACTGAGGGCTGAGGAAGTCCAAGGGCATTGGATAAACCCTGGTTTTGCTGTGACATCCAAACACAGACTGAAAGACAAGTGGTGGCTGTCCCAGGTTCTTTTCTGCCCAGGGTGTTTTTAATTTGAAGGCTTGAAAAAGGAGCCAAAATGAGAAAGAAGGTTTCAAGTGGCTCACTGGATTGCTTGTAGCTCTATGGAAAAGCCTCCAGGCCCAATTAGATGTGCAGGGAGATTCTAGGTTGCTTCCCTTTTGAGAGATCTAGCTTCCGTGGCATGTTTCTGAATAAAAGAAGCAGGAGTGAATAAAGGCTTACTGTATTGCGTGCAGCTCCACAGACGAAGCCTGCATCTTTCCATCTGTTCAACTTGAAAGCTTGTCAGAGTTTCCACTGATGCCTTGCCATCCTGATGACTCTTCCCTTAGCCCTTATTTTTGACAGGCTTTTCCATTTGTAGGAAAAGTAAAGGTGTGGGATAGGGGGCAAATATTGAGCATAGTCTCTTTAGGGAGCAGCTATAACTGGCTGATAAACAAGCCTGAGCTAGTGGATAAATATTTAAGCTAAGGTTGCTTATGTTAAAACCATTTCTCCTTATCTCATAAACAGTGTGGTTTCAGAGAGCAACTTGGAAGAGGCTACAGAAACTTCTGACATTCTATAACATTTTAGAGAATGACCCTCAACTTTCCAAAATCTGCTTTCTGTTGATCTGACCCCAGCATCATGACTTGTGATTACGCACTTAACAAGACATTGCTTAAAGAGTTGGGGAAAAATAAGAGTAAACCTTTCATGGGAGTTCCTCAAATCTCCTTAGTAAATTCATCCAATCAGTCTACTACTTCTTTGGCATTAAACATATATATATCTGTGATGGCGAACCTATGGCACATGCGCCGGAAGTGGCACGCAGAGCCATCTCCCAGGCACGCCAGCCATTGTCCATTGCTCTTCTGGGTTCCAGCGTAAGTATGTATGCCGGCCAGCTGGTCTTCCGGTTTCCGGTGCTCCCCATGTGCGGTGCCAAAAAGGTTCGCCTTTTTCTATACTCTTTCCAGTATAATTCTGTGCATGTCTATTCTGAAATAAATCATACTGCCTTCGACCAGGATGCATGCATAGGACTCTTGCCAGAAGTTGCTCTCCAAATGTTGCAGGACTTGCAGGCTTTGGGTGAAGTTACATTTCAACCTATCTGGAAGGCTCCATATTGGGGAAAGCTGATGGATAGAATTGCAGCTTCATTTTTTTCCTTCATGTTTTGTTGTGTTTATAGGATATGCAGTTACCATAAGGCATGGAACATTCAGCTGGGCAAAGGATCTTGACCCAGCTCTGAAAGAGTAAGGAAACTTTTTTCAATTGTATTTGTTGACATTTTCTGGCATCTTGTCTCTCTGGGAGTGAGCAGCTAATGCAGTTTTTAAATGTTATTTGAAAGCCCCCCCTCCCAATTTATATTTTTACTTGGAACTGATGACTTATGTAAGTGAAAATTAGTCCTTTCCAACTTTGCAAAGTTTTTACTATTTTTCAATCTCAACTACTTCTTGAATGGTTACTGAAGAGCAAAATGCTCTTAAATGTCACTAAACAGCTTGTTATTTTCTTTACACAGCATGTGACATAATTCTCAGTGAGCTGCAGTTGGGATTTTGCAAAATGGAAATATGTTACCGGCTGCTGCTGCGCCTTCTCCCATTGCTTATTAAGAGAATGCAGACTTTACAATGTTGGCTCTACCATTTCAATAAATTATCTCGGGCCAGAATGGATTCTGCAGTTTTACATCCCTCTCATAAATGGCACAGTGGTTTTGTATATTCATCAGTTGTGTAGAACAATTCTAAATGCTCACTGTGGACAACAGTGATATTAGGAGCCAATCTGCAACTTCTTTGGTTCAGTCCCATGCCTTGATGGACGGCACTCCTTAAGTAGCAAATTGCTGTCAGTTCTTAAAGCTTTCTTGCTCAATTCATATCTAGGATCAAACTGACTCATCTTCATTGGGCAGTCAGAAGATTCAGACATGTGCATGTTTTACAAAGCTCTTATATGCTCAGAGGCCTGTTTATTAATTCTGACTCTGTAGGCATAAACAAATATACACAATTCACTAAAGAGATTTTACTTCTGACAAAAGCTACATGCATACAATATATTACAATAAAGCAGCGGCAAATAAACTAAACAAATCCAGCTCTGCTAAGCTTTTTTTCTAACATGAACAAAACTGAAAGCAAAGGCATGAGGATAAATGATTAGCAAGATGCAAAACCAGGCTGATCATTGCTCCGTGAGATGTTTTCCTATGCAACTGAGATGAAGAACACCAGCAAACAGGGAGTGGAAAATGTAAGCCCAAGTTTAATGAGGTCTTCTCTCCTGTGTCAGGGTTTTAGGGTTCTTTTATGTTCTAGGTCTAAGTTCTTTCTTTCTATCTTTCCTTTCTGATTGATCCAAGTCCTAAGAATCTGATTTTGGGCTTTCAAATATCATTTTCCTTATCTCGGGATTTCAAATGTCCTTGATAACTGTCTTGTCCAGCAGTATAAAATTGCATCAAATATTTCTCCATCTCTAGCGTTCTGTAGCCCAGAGCAACTCTGATTTATTGCCTGTGCCTCCTTAAATAGCCTGCTTTTGCAATTAAGTAGGCCAGTGCCACAGTATATTCTTTAAAAAAACACTCATATTCCAGTATATAGTTATCACATTATATCTATTATAATATTCTTAATCAAAATGTAATTTCTTAACAGTATTTCAATATACAGGGCATATGCACTGATGATTTGTTGATGTGAAAAAAGACTGAAAATTCTTATTAGACCTTCCAATCACAGGCCCTTCCTACTCATCCATGTTGGCACAAATTACTTCAAGGAATATTTTGAGGAAATTTTTGAATCTATATTAATCCTTAAATTTTACTCCTCTTCTAGAGGGTTATTTTTTTAACCCTTCTTAATCCTTCCAAAATAGCTTTTTATTTCCTTAGCTACTACTCTGCATTTTCTCTTCCTCTTTTAATTTTAACCATTTCTTCCTCTCCTTGACACTGTTCTTTGTAACTAGATCCTTTTCTTTTTATAGCTCTTTCATCATGTTTTTCCCCCAAAAATCATTCTATGAGTTCCTTTCCACCCTCATTCTCAGTCTCTTTTTTCACTTCTTCATTCTATCAAGCTTTCCTTTGGGGGAGGGGAGTGCCCCATCAATGTAAATTCACTTATTTGGAAGGCATTCTGTAACTTCAGAGGTCTTCTTTTCACTCTGTTGTAAGCAGCGTCCACAACCTATATACCTTATATCCACTTATTCATTCTTTGACGTGATTAATCTGGCTTTTAATACCTTTTCATGCAGAATTTGTACTTTTCTTCCTGCAGTCATTCTACTTTTACTCTTATTTATTTTATTCTTCTTTCTTTATTATCCATTTTTCCCCTCAAGATCCACTCTTGACTGTGTCAAAAAATGGTCTCTCCCAAAGTCACAGCCTCTTGTTACATTGATTGCCAGTAGCTTCCAGGTACAATTCAAAGTAAAAGATCATAAAGCCCTTCAGGACACAGAGCCTAGTTATTTGAGCCACGGTGGCACAGTGGTTAGAATGCAGTACTGCAGGCTACTTCTGCTGCCTGCTGGCTGCCTGCAATTTGGCAGTTCAAATCTCACCAGGCTTAGGTTGACTTAGCCTTCCATCCTTCCGAGGTGGGTAAAATGAGGACCCAGATTGTTGGGGGCAAGATGCTGATTCTGTAAAACGCTTAGAGAAGGCTTTAAAGCACTATGAAGTGGTATATAAGTCTAAGTGCTAGTGCTATTGATAGGCCACCATGTCCAGTACTTTCTGCCAGTCTAGTAAGATTAGGCAGTGTGGATACATTACATTCCCTTCAATCAAATAATTCTATCGGAATCTAGGAAGTCTACCTTCTCTGTCATAATATCTGCTATCTGGAACCATTTCTCCCCAGAGTTCTATATGATTCCCACTCTAATGAAATTCCAAACATCACTGAAAACCTGGCTGTTCTCGTAAGCCTGGAAAAAGAATAGTGGTTGTCCCCTTGTCAGTTTTTCTTTGGTGTGCTGCATTTGTTTTTCTGGACATGCATGATCTTTATTGTATTGTTCTTTCCTTTTTAAAGTATCAGCCATATAGAACAAAGGTCCCCAACCCTTGGGCTGTGACTGACTACTGGGCCTTGGCCTATTTGCAACCAGGCCATGTGAACGGTGGGTCGACTTGCATGCAGCTCATGCTTGCGCAAGTTGAGCTGTTTGCGCACCATCCCACCATTCCTGCGCCTAGGTTCCCCCCCCCCCCGCCTCAGCTGGGCACCAAGTCACAACGGTTACGGACCACTGATCTAGAATCATCTGGAATCAATTGTTCTTTTAGATTGAATATGTATAAACAGAGATTCTTAAATCGTATATTCAAATCATATATTTTTAAGGAAGTAACTGTTACCATTCTAATTTGTTTGAATATCTCCAAAGGGCCAATTATTTTCTTTTATTCAAGTCAAATCACCTTCATTCAGACCTATTTCTTCCTTCTCCTTTTTTAATTTCACAGATGTACAAATATATGTTTTTATCTTTTTCATTTCTTAATTCATTATCATCTGCTTCCTTTACAATTTAGGTCGCAAACTTCCATATACTGTGGCTGTGAACAGTTAGCTTGCATGAAAAAAATCAACCCCATTCTGTTTAGCACTGACCTTAAGAATCAATGCGGAGAGAGAAAACAGCTGGTTGCATTTTTACTTTCTGTTCCTTAATTTCTTAAGGTGGCACATGAGTGACATCAAAATATCTTTCATGCCTTCCTCTTCTGTAGTCATGAATTCTGCAGCTCGTGTTCTTCATTCTTTCTCAGATTACTGAAACATGAATGAGGTTAAGGTTGATTAAATAAAGGTTCCTGTTAGAATTTTGCACTGAACTTTCACGTAAAGGAAAAATAGGCAGGCATGCTAGGTTTTTTTCTTATGACGGACTCCAGAAAACATGTCTTGGTCTGTTTCAGCAATAGCAGTCTATTTTCACTTTCAAGCTCTGACAAATTAAGCTGTAGTCCACTCAAGCGTATGTCACAAAATATCAGTTAGCCTTTAAGAATCCTTCTTTGTTGTTTGTTGAGTTCTTTGTTGATTTTGCTCTAATGCTTACATTTTAAATCAGTTCCACTTCTGAGCAAATCTCTTGGTTTTGCCTTTGTCCTCTCCTCCAGTATAAATTGGCTAGTCCCCACTGGTTCTTTGGTGGCCGTAGTGGGCCAGGTTGGCTGCGGGAAGTCTTCCTTGGTGTCAGCTCTTCTTGGTGAAATGGAGAAACTCAGTGGAGATGTGGCAGTGAAGGTTGGTTTTCAGCAGTTTGAAAAATATTCTGACAATCTGAATATTTGAAATATCTGTGTAGCTTCTAATCAGATTTGTCTTATGTTACTGCTTTTAGGGTTCGGTTGCTTATGTACCCCAGCTACCTTGGATCCAGAATGCTACTTTGAAAGATAATATTTTGTTTGGCCACCCTCTTAACGAGCTGAAATATCAGACTGTGTTAGAGGGATGTGCCTTGAAACAAGATCTTGAGATGCTTCCTGGAGGAGATCAAACAGAAATAGGTGAGAAGGTAAGACCTTTAGCAAGACATGCAATAGTTGCCTCTCTGAGTCCTCTCCACTATCATCACAGCAAGGCTTTGGGGGTGAATACCAGAGGTGGGATGCTCCCGGTTCAGCCTGAATGGGGGGAACCAGTAGTAGTGGCAGCGGGAGGCTCCATCCACCCACCCGGATGCTTCTGTGCATGCACAGAAGCGTTGCACACATGCATGAGTGAACCAGTAGTAAAAAAAATAGGAAACCCATCACTGGTGAATACAGTTTGACCATGCCAGGGACACTCCCAAAATGTCCATCTCATTATTCATTCTATTCATGAAATAAATAATTTGGGGGTGAGCATGGACATCAGTACTCTCTTCTCAAAATACAAATGGGTGAGACAAAAAGCAAAGCAAAGGTGGGGACTATGTTCCAGAACCTGAATCTACATTGTTGAATTCTACCAAATCTTTTGCATAATGAGATTCGGAAGCCCGTAACGTGATCCAGAAAGAAGTACAGGTCAGTTGTCAAATCTAAGTCAAATTAAGTAATTTCATCCCATAAAACGTAACAGTTACCCATTTCACAGGAGTCAAGGATAAATAAGATTAGATAGAATAAGGACAATCAACTCCTTATGTATAGTGAGAATGAAAGAAAGCTAAATATTTTCTCCTTACTTAGCAACTGCAATTCATCTCCAACAAAATGCAAANATACATATGGAAGTCAGTGGGGGGAAAAATCTACCCAAATCCCCTTAAGCCATGTTGCAGAAAACACATTTCGTGGGTGGGAGTAAAAACATATAGTTGAAATATTTTCCTAAATCATTTGTATTATAGAATACTTTTTCAAAATTATACTCTTTCTGAAAGGCAGAATAGCATTTCAAAAGCATGCAAATGCGAGTAGATAAATTGGTACCATTTTGGTGGGAAGGGAGAAGCATTCTATGTGCCTTAGCATATAATCATGCTGGCAATATGACCACAGAAGTGTCTTCAGACGATGCTGGCTCCTTAACTAAGAAACAAAGATGAGTAAAGTCTCCCTGCAGTTAGACACAATTCGATAGGGGAAAACTTTACCTTTCTAAATAGATAAAACAGAGATTATCAGTACCTTATTGATCATTTACCATGTTGGCCAATTGCTCCTAAAATAAATTTTTTTCTGTTTTCTTTCTGATCCTTTTAATTCAAAAGTTAAGTCACCCAACTACATTCCAAAACCAGTAACTGGAATATGGCAAAAAAGAAGAAAGAATTGGGATCAAAAAGATAAATGGGTTTGGTTTACATTTATTTAAAATGATTATTTAATCATCTTTCCCTTTGTTACATTAAAAATTACAATATGTTGAAGAATTTTGGAATGGTCTGAGGACCACATCCAAGTTTTGGGGGACTGCTTTGGATTAACATAGTGTAAGTTTTTGCTGATGGTTGCAGAACATGCAGAATATAGCTGAAAACATACTGAATCACTGTCCCGATCCCTTGACAGGCAAATTGTATGAAAGGCTATGCTATATGCTATAATAATTGATATGAGGTTCAGTCTGCTGCAGTCTGTTGAAGGGTCAACATAGAGAGAAAGCCAGATTCAAATCCCTACATGGCCATGAAGTTCACTGGATAAGCCAGGACCAATAATTATTTCTCAGGATTAAACACTGGAGGAGTATTTGCACCGTCATGAGCCTTTTGGAAGAAGAAGAGAATGCATAATGGAATTCTTCTCCCTGTCTTCTTAGTCTTTAGTCATCACCAACTCAGCAAAGCGCTCTTCCACAGTTGGAGAAATTGTCAACCTGATGTCAGTGGATGCCCAGAGATTCATGGACCTGACTACCTTCCTCAACATGCTGTGGTCTGCACCACTTCAAATTTGCCTTGCTTTATACTTTCTCTGGCAGGTATAGAACTTTCTCTTGGATTTGTTGCCATGTAAAACTATCACGTTAAATCTGACCTTGCATTAGAGAAACTCTAGTAGAGGAAGTCATCACACAACAACTGGTTGCTTCCGGTATAATGAAAATCATGTGTTTTTGCAACTTTCTTAATAATAAAGTGGTTAACTGAGGATACAATACCCTATGGCCGTGATGGCAAACAGGTGGAATGCAGTGACCTCTCTGTGGGCACACGAGCCATCGCCCTAGTTCAGTTCCATTGCGCATGCGCACACACTTCCTGCCAGCCAGATGGTCATCAGGTTTCTGCTGCTCATGCACAGAGGGAGGGGGTGTGCGGGGAGAGTGCATGAATACATTGTGGGGTGGGGCGTATGCATGGGTGGGCAAATGCGCATGCACAGGGCTCATGTTCGGGGGTGCATGCACAGGGGTTGCACATGCATTGCATTTTGGGGGTTTGGGCACGCATGCGCATTCGCACATGCACACACACTTTGGACACTTGATCCGGAAAAGGTTAGCCATCACTGCTCTATGGAGATTAGTAGCAATAGGGTTAGATTCCAAAAGCTGCAACTGGAATATGGAAGGTATGGTCGCAGTGCTAGTAAAAGAGAAATGGTTTTAGGAATGGGAGATAGGGAGAATTCTTACCCCATTCTTCCTGTTCATTAAAATATTTATACTTAGCTAGTGGTTGACATCCTATCTGTTTTGTAATACCATTATGAAAGGTCCATGCAAATAAAAGTATTCCATTGAAAAGCTACTAATGGTGACTGGAAATAATCAGGATAAAAAAAATACAAGTTCTACACAACAGCTAAAAATACACCATTGTTTTGGCACATTCTTGGCACCATTATAATCTCTGGTTTATTCACTACTGTGAAAGTTATCTCAAACAGAAAAACAGCTTTGGGCGGCACATGTTGTGCTGTCATCTCTGTACAGTACCTTGCTTACCACCAAAGGGTATATTTGTTTGTTGTTATATTTTTAAAAGTGAAAACAGCAACATGTTTCCGTCTAGAGTGCCAATGAAAAGCAGCCAAGGCCCTGTTTTGAAAAAGCAAAACAAAAACACCAAGTTTTCATATTCCTATTCTACACTGTATAGAGAAAATGAAAATCCTTTGGGAGAAGGCAAGAGTGTTTGGGACCAACAATAGCCCTTGTTGTTGAAGAGCTCCTGATGATTTAAAGCCTACAAGTTTTTCTGAAGAGTAGCAAATGATGACTTCCACCATGTTTTCAATTCAAGTGACCTGAATAATAACAGGTGTATCTTACATTCTTTTAAGACTTTAGGGCCTTCTGTGTTGGCGGGAGTTGCTGTGATGGTTCTACTCATCCCACTGAATGCTGTGATTGCTATGAAAACTAGAGCTTTCCAGGTATGTATCTGTCCATAGAGATCATTCCTAATGAAGTTCTGCCCCAAATGAATCTAAAATTTTTTTTAAAAAAGGCAGGACAATTGTTTTCATACTGATCAGAAGAGCAACATGCCTTTATCATGGAGAGCTTGTCCATGCATCTCCTTTCATGGTTTTAGATCTAGGCTGTTCCTTGACCTTAGTCTGTTGGTGGCTCTTCACTAGTCTGATAACAAATTAAGCTGTACTTAACTATGAACTTGTTTATTTTCTGCACTGTATACAGTTGGTTTGCCTTATCTTTCTTCAGGATATTTTTTTCAATTTCCTAGTCTAGACTATAGTCCTAGGATTTCCTGGTGATTTGCATAATTTTTCAAGATCACATGAAATACAGTCTTAAAGCAATAAAATCAACATAATATTTCTTTGTAAAAGCTCCATCGTCTTTTCAAGGTTTATTGGATTAAAATGGTTAGCATACACCTGAACAGGAGAAAGAATCAAGCAAGCATCTCCACTAAGGCCATTTTGTAAACTAGAACTGTTAAAGTGGTCAGAGGTAAACAATTATACCACCCAGTCCACCTATTCTGTGGACCCAATTGGATGCACAGTGATAACTAATTGGGTGCATACATTGTACACAGTGTTTCAGGTCAAAAATGGAAAAGTGATCTTATAAATAAAAAAATATTTAAAAGCTAATTTTTCAATTAAATTTAATTTCAATTTTAAAAATAAATTTAAATCCTAATCTTAAATTTTTCTTACAAAGTAATTTGACCATGATAAGTAAGTTCATATTTGTGTGCAAATCTGTAAAGAGAATCCATACCTTTAGCAGTTATAGTGTGTTAAAAAGTTATCTATGCCAGGGAGGGTACAATTTGATCATATCTCAAATATTAATTTTTATAGTCTATAATATTTAATTTGTGATTTGCACTACTATCTGGTAGATACACGAAGCTATAGTGATAAACCTCATTTAAATCATTGATTGAAATTATCTTTTCTCCCCCTTGTTAATTCACATCTGAGATTTAAATTTTTTCAATTTAAGTCAGTCTATCCTGTCAAGGACTGCAAAGCACATGTTTTTGTCACCAAGATGCCCATCTAACATGTCAATTAAAAAAAAGAAATATTAAACTCCTGTAGAACAGTATAGAATTTGTACTGAAAAGACTGAATGACTTACTGTTCCTGATCTATCAAGCTGTGGTACTCTCCTATGAAAAGTAGAGATTTTACTTCCTTTTCCTCCATAGAAATGTTTATTTTTTCTGGTAACCAATACAGCTGCTTCCAATACTAGACAAAAATGCCATGCTTGCACAAAGCATGTGGTGATATTTTTAAAGTACCAGTTTCCTCTTCAAGATTCTTTTCCATCTGATTTTATAGAAACCTCTCTGTAAGAAGCACGGGAGAAAGAATAGCAATAGCAATAGCAGTTAGACTTATATACCTCTTCATAGGGCTTTCAGCCCTCTCTAAGCGGTTTACAGAGTCAGCATATTGCCCCCAACAACAATCTGGGTCCTCATTTTACCCACCTCGGAAGGATGGAAGGCTGAGTCAACCCTGAGTCGGTGAGATTTGAACAGCCGAACTGCAGAACTGCAGTCAGCTGAAGTATCCTGCAGTGCTGCATTTAACCACTGCGCCACCTCGGCTCTTAAAAGGCACTGAGTAATGATATTCTTTATATTCG